GAGAATCTATAATGTATGTGAAACAAACTATATACTTTCAGTACTGACTGTGACTATCGGAACACAGCCTATATATTTCATTATTTCAGAGATATACACAATCCTAGGCGGTGCTGAATAAGTATCCCTTCTTCTTCCTCTCTTATCTGTCATTTCCAAGAGGAAAGTTTGCATCCTCTGGCTTTTATAGAACCCGTTCTTCTAAGGAAGACTAGATTCATAATTAGAAAAGACTTTCCACTCTAATCTTCTCTGATTAGTTGGAGGTTATTAAATAGCGATAATGTCTAACGCGACGAGATCGCTGCCACTTGTTAGTTAACTGGTTAACGTGGCAAAGCATAAGGAATTAGTGTGTTCTTTCAGAAATCATTAAGATTAACCGTGAAAATAAGGATCGAACTTTCTGCGCAAAGAATTTGTGAAATCTGGATATTGCGCTACAAAACCGAAAATAATCTCGACGAATCGATTGTGTCCACAACATCTGATCTTGATGAAAATACACAATCAGCTGTCAGCATTTATCGCCTGCTGTTTATCTCTTTTGATAATAACAGTTCAGTCTGGAACGTTTTCATTTGCCAGTTGTATCCTGATTAATTCTGACGATCGATTATTAGGAAAGAGAGAGATACTGTAAAGCGCACTTCAAAAGATTTACTGATTTTAATTAGCTTGTGGCTATAATTTGATACCAATGATTTATTTTGCCATTTGGTTGAAGTGATTACCCCATAAAATCTGAATTTGATATGTAATTATGCATTATCGATTTGAAAAAGGATAACGTCTCATGCATAAAAGAAGGATACAGACAAGAATCTTGAGGGATCTTGCATGGTGTATTTTTCTATTATTTCTTATTTCTCTAATCGAAATGAGATAAGTTAGTTAGAAAGTCAATAGACTATGCGGGCTACCACGAGCTTGAAATCTTGACAAAAAGAAGATTTATTTTTTAACAAACAATGGCTTGTGATGCTCTTATTTGGGGATTGTTGTTTGTGGGATGTAGTATACAGGTGTTATGGGCAATATCTGAAGATGATGCATCAGAATATATGAACAAGAAAGAAAGAGAAGCTTTAAAGTTTGTATTATTTATTATATGATTATCTATTATATGTTTAGATATTTATATATTTAGGTTTTTTATAATCACTGTTATTTTTTATAGAGAAGAAGCAAGAGATATGTTTTATCATGCATATAATGCATATATGGTATGTAATATATGATATTATCTTATTTTTTTAATCTGCATAATATATTAATTGAGTTAAAAAGTAATATATTCAAAATATATAAATATAAAATTACATCAAAGATAATTAAAATTTAGAAAGAGAGAAAATATAAATATTGGTATTTCGTGTCATTTGTATTAAAAAAATTATCAATATAGATTAACTAATATTTAGCACCTTTTCAAGGATAATGCATATCCTGCTGACGAACTGATGCCATTAAGTTGTAAAGGACGATATAGAGGCTCAGAACCGAACAGGGGTGATATAGATTCTACATTAGGAAAGTAAGAAATTTTGGATAAAATAATATTTTCCATAATTCAACAGTTAATATAATTCAACATTTCTATATGTTCTCATTAAAATTTTGCTATTTCTTGATGTATTGCTCCAGTTTTATTCTAATTTGTATACTTTAACTTACAGTTTTTCACTTACTTTGGTAGATACACTAGATACATTAGTGGTAAGTTATAACAATAAATACTATTTAATTTATTATCAATGGGAACGTTCAGCCATCAATTTGATCAGTGAGGAGTTAGTGATTATTAGTCTTTACCACTAGATTTTTAAATTTAGACTATATTAACAAATTACTCAATTGTTAATGTTTGCTGAACGTGTCAATGTAACTTTAATTCTATTTTATATTAGGTGTTGGGAGATTTGGAAGAATTCGAAAATGCAGTCAAACTTGTTGCTAGAGATATAAGCTTTGATACAGATGTTATCGTTTCCTTATTTGAAACAAATATTAGAATGCTTGGGTAAGTAAATTTTTTGCATTTTAAATAAAATTCTTTATTTAAAATGTTTATTCAAAAATATATATTTTTTTATTATTTAAAAGTTTAACTTTTAAATTAAATTATTTATTAAATATATTTTTATAGAGGTCTTCTTAGTGGCCATATATTAGCTGAATATCTGCAACAAAGGGCTGATATAATGCCATGGTATAGAGGAGAACTTTTGAATTTGGCTAAAGATTTAGGATATAGATTTTTACCTGCATTTAACACAACTACTGGAATACCTTATGGCAGAGTAAGTTTGATACTCAACGATGTGTGATATTTGTAGTTTGAACATATATATTAACATGCATTAATTTCCTTAAAGTTTAGAATCATTTTATATATCCTATAAAAAATATAAATTGCTCTGTACATGAATATTATTAAAATAATATCTACTAATAATATATTAAAATAATATATATTAAATAAAAAACTATAAAACATTTAATGAATTTTAACATCTTATGTGATAGGATAGAAATAATTTGTGCATGTTGCATGTTACTTGCAAAATAATATAGTTATAACAATATAGTTTATTTACTTTATTATCATGTTGTTTATGATTATTAAACAAAAATTTTGGCAAATGTATCAGATAAATAATGTCATGTATAACTTTCAAAAATTGTAATCAATATAATCGCGGTGACTACTCAGGAGCCTTAAAATGAAATATCATACATATCAGATTTTTATTGCTATTAGGCAAATTCTTTTTAAATTCATATTTTTCTATTCATATTTTTCTACTAAATATGCATGTTAGTACTTATATATTGCAGCATGATATTATTTTAAGGTTAATCTTTCAATTTTCTTTACATTTATTTTGGATTAAAGAGTCAAAATTTGATATTTTTTTAAGTGAAAATTAATTTTATTTTTGTATATATTTTATTTAAAAAACACTAAATATTGATGATATTTTAATCAATAATTATAATTAGAATAATTTCATGGATTATTATGAAATAAAAATATTAAATATAATATGATATGTAAATTATAAAATATATTTTTGAGAGAAGAGAATGAGAGGACAAGCACAGGGAGGAGAAGATAAAGAAAGGAAACAAAATTAATTGATTAACAATTGATCTTAAAAATAAAATCTAAAATTTATTTAATTATTATTTTATAAATGTTTCTATACAAAAAATAATTCCTATCTCTAAAAATTTCTTTTTCATCTCTATCAATTACAGAAGTAAGAAATG